CTCTCTCTCTCTCTCTCTCTCTCTCTCTCTCTCTCTCTCTCTCTCTCTCTCTCTCTCTCTCTCTCTCTCTCTCTCTCTCTCTCAATGCGGGCAGTTTGTCGCCCTGTATCTCCAAGCCACGCAGAGTCGTCACCCCGCTTGGCCTGAGTGTGCAAGCCAGGTTCGCCCACGTGCCACAATCCGTCGCGACCACGCATCAACCCCGCGCACTCAGCACCAGCTCCTCGGATCGCCCAACTCTCATGCTCACTCACCTTTCAATGCTCGTTAGCCGACCCTCACTGATCACGCTAACCTTAAGGTTCTTAGAGGGACAACTAATCGCGCTTGCGAAATTTATAGCATGTTGCGCGAGGGATACGGGATTAGCACCAAGGATGAGAAAGAGAAAAGAGGGAGTGCCTACGTCTGCATGTCCAGGACGTGGCGCGGGGGACGAAGCCACTCTCCGCGCATCGATCCGGGCATGCAACCGTGGGAACCACTTAGAACAGAGAAAAAACGTGCATGCGAAGACGAGGCGGGCAAGAAGGAAATACGAAAGCCATCAAGAACAAGAAGATTACAGTTGTGAATGCGCGCGCCAAAACTACAGTTACACACGTGATTGAGGTGTGGACGGAATCAGAGCCCAGATCCTGTCGGGGCACGGTGCGTGCGAGCAAGAAGCTCCGTGCCGCCAAACTGCAAGGTGCCTAAATTCCCAGTCTAAATCCTAAGTGCAAGATAAAATTCCGAAAAGAACAATTCCAAGAGCCCGCGGGGGCTCGACATTAGTTCGAATTTTAAAAACGAAAATTCCCGCGTGCTGATCGCGTCAAAACTCCTAGTGCGCATAGCAAAACAAGAAAGAAGCTATGGCAATCGTCATTTCTCACGCTCGCTAGGGCGCGATCACTTAATCGTTGGCGTGGGACTTTCCCGGCACCGGCCCGACAACTCCAATCGAAAATGGAAAAGAAGCGAGGGCATTCAGGCAACTTGCCCCACCGATCCCGGTTGCGCCCGTCACCCATCAAGGCCCTCTTGTTTCCCCACAGCAGCCTCGCGCAGGAAGTCACGCGATTACAGAAGATAGTTTGTCACAGCCTTTCTTTCTTGGACCTTCAACCAGGCCCAGACTGGTCCCAC